CAATATTCTACCTCTTCTATTTCTTTATTTCTTTTAAATTTATTATTTCTGCCCTAGCTGGTCTGGCTCAGTGGATAGAGCATCGACCTGCACACTGAAGGGTCCCAGGTTCGATTCCAGTCAAGGGCACATGCCCAGGTTGCGGGCTCAATCCCTAGTGTGGGGTATGCAGGAGGCAGCTTATCAATGGATTCCCTCTCATCATTGATGTTTCTATCTCTCTCTCCCTCTTCCTTCTCCACTGAAATCAATAAAAAATATATATATTTTTTAATTATTTCTTAGTATTGCTTATTTTATTTTATTTTTTGACTAGAGGCCTGGTGCACGAATTTGTGCACAGGTGGGGTCCGGCCGGCCCACCCCAATTGGGGCCGATTGGGGGAGGGGCCGGCCTGGGGGAGGGGCTACGGATGGTTGGTGGGAGGGCCCCGCCCCCGATCACGGTGGGGGGAGCCTATCAGGGGTGGGGCTGGCCTGGGGGAGGGGCCACGGGTGGTTGCTCAGCCAGCCCTGCCCCCTGGTCAAACTCCTGGTTGAACTCCCAGTCAAACTCCCAATAGAGGGGACAATTTGCATATTAGCCTTTTATTATATGGGATTACAGTTTGCATTCAACACTATTTTGTATTAGTTTCAGGTGTACAGCACAGCAGTATATTTATTCTGCAATCTCATCGAAGCCTCCAGTATGGTGCTACAGAGGACCTCTTCTCTTCCAAGGTGCATCTGAAATATGTAAATATCATACAGTTGAGTCTTGCCCCATGTCATTCTGTCTACTATTTATATAATTTGGCTCTCTTTCTGACTAATATTTAGGTTCCCTCTTCTTCTGATTGGTCTGGGTCCAGTGGCTCCAACATAGCCCCAGGACCCTAAACATCTCTTATGAGGTCTGCACCTTGGCCACAGAGGCAGTGCGTGGCTAATATCCACTCCACAATCTCACTCTCTCATCTGCTCCTGATTTATTTTCTTCTCTACTCTCAGGGATCTCACCCTTTGTGCCAGTATCCAACATTCCCTGGGCCTTGTTTTCTTCACTCACCACTTTGGGGACCTCAGCCTATTTTCTCCTCTTTGGTTCCCCAGGTTGGCACATATTGTTGGAAAAATTTGCCCCAGTATACAGTTACAAAATTGAGAATCTATAGTATCAAACCTTTGTGGGCTTTTCCATGGCTTGGCAATCAGGTTCCTTCTCACTCAACCCACAGCAGTGATTGAAATGTTTAGCACATGTGTTCTAAGCTATATGTTACACAACTCCAGTCCCCTAGTGCAGAGTAGGCAGATAATAAAAATTACATAGAACCTATGAATAAATGAATTATTGACTGAAAAGATGAATCTTTCATGGAGAAAACAAGAATTGGAATGTAAATTGAAATATATGTATTGCTCTTGAGTTCTATTGGGCACCTAGATCCTTATAGTAAATATTCATTTCTGCACAAATTTTAAAAATATTCCAAAAAATAGGGAGTCCACCTAACCTCTAAGTATTTTAATGAGGAATAAATAATAACAACCCATCCTATAATTTTGGTAAGTAGAGTCTTAATTTCAATATTAATCTCAAAAAGGCAAGATCAATCATTGGAGTTATGAATATCTATTTCACAAAATGGGATGGTGAAAATCACAATGTGATCCTATATAATAAAAGGCTAATATGCAAATAGACTGAACGGTGGAACAGCCGAACAACTGAACAACCAGTCACTATGACATGTGCTGACCACCAGGGGGCACGCATGGAACATGGTGGGTGTTGGCAGCAGGAAGTAGAGCTTGGAACATGGCGGGCGTTGGCCACGGCAGGATGGTGGAGCAGGTGAGCAGGGCCGCCAGACCAAGTCAGGGCACTGGTTGCTGTCATTCGGGCAAGCCTCTGGTGGTTACTGAAAATCCTTTGCTCCTGCATGCTGCTGTCCCGCTGGGCACTCGCACCCACTGCTGGCGCTAGAGCCGCTGCTCACACCTGCTGCCATTTGCACCCCCTGCCAGCCCCAATCACCCCTCAGGGCTTCTCTACCTCCCCTTGCTCCTGAGGGGCTATCGGGGCTGGCAGCCACCTCTTGCACCCACTGTCAGCAATGACCCCGGTTGCACCCACTGCTGGCACCCGGTGCCCGTCCTGATCACTTGGCACCGTCAGTGGGTATGAGCGGCGGCTGCTGGCCCTGATTGCCCCTGATTGAGGGCTTCTCCACCTCCCCCTGCTCCTGAGGGCCGCTTGCACCTGCTGATGGCGCCAGCCCCACTCTCATCCGCTGCTGACGCTGGCCCCAATTGCTCCGTGCTATCAGTGGGTGTGAGTGGGGCCAGCATCATCAGTGTGTGGGAGCAATGGCAGTGGGAGTGGGGCTGCTGGCAGACAGGGAACTTGGGGGCCGCGGCAGGAGGGGCCGGGTGGGGTCGAGGAGGATGGGCTGAGACCCGCCCCTATGCCCACTGCAGCCTCCAGCCCACAGTTCCTTTCAGGGTGCACGAATTTGTGCACTGGGCCCCTAGTTTGATAAAATAAAAATGAAAACAAGGCTTGGAATATGTCATTCACCCGGTTAATAAATACATTAGATAGAGGGTATCTAAATACAATTATTTACCAGAAATCCTATCAACTACAACTTACCAAATGGTTCAGTAAGTTTATAATTGCTGGGGTTCCTGTCTCAGCATCAAGGAGGGTTCAGGAATCTGGAGAAGGGGCTGTGCATAGATGACATAGGAATCCAGAGACTAATAAAGAGTCCGGAGATGAAATATAATTTTGAAAGGCATTTGGGGGTCAGAGGAGCTTATCTAAAGGAGCTAAGTTCTAAGATCTTAAGTCTAAGGCCTTAGGTTCTCTCCTTGTCCCCAGGACCCCATGCTTTTTATTAACACAATTTGTCCTGAGGCGAGGCAGAGATATACACTTCAAAGGGTCAGGTTTTGGTACAGAGTCCATTGTTAGAATGGGGGAATTAGCCTATAGCTGTTCAGGTGTTTGGCCAGTAGGAGGCAATAACATGTAGATTAAGATGCCCTTTAACTGTCTGGCAGCCACAAGCAATTTAATGTATCCTATTCAGGTTTGGGGAAATGCCTTTAGCCATTCCCAGATGCAGGTGACTACATGTGTGACTCAACCCTGTTGAGTCCCCAAGTCTCATCAACCTTTTGATGAAACTCTTGAAATTATGACATGCTGGAATTGGTTCCTGGTAATAATAGTTATAATCACTTGGATTAAGATACTTGAATAATAAAGGAACTGTCATAAAGCTGACTTGGAGGTTATTTCAAAAAAGATAAGTTTGGGATGAGCTGGTATTTATGTTTTAGAGGCAATCCTTTGTGAAAATTATAAAGGATCTTTGGAGTTAGGGGCTGGTATTATGTTAGTGAAATTAAAAAAATATATATATAAAAGGAAAATAATATGAGGCATGTGTAACCATATTCATTCACAAAATAACTCTATCCTTGGGAATGGGAATGTGATAGGCTGCTTTGTGGAGCTTCTGCCCAATCCACTAAGGCCTCTCTGAATGGCCCTGTCACCCACTCCCCCGTCAGCTACTTTTTATACCATCCCATCCTTTGGCCACTGTTTATTGAGCCTTGTCTGTGTGGTCTCTAGGAGCAGCAAAGACCTCCAGGGAGCAGAATGAGGCACTACCCACAGACAACCGAAATGCCACATCACTTTCTTCAGGGCAGTTCCCTCCCTGCTTGTGGTACTTGGGTCTTTACAGTAAAGTTTCCCTTTCTGTTTAAATCTAGTCAATATTCCATGCTGCTGAGTCTGAGGTGAGATATATTTATGTTTGGTTGCTGGTATTGTAATTGTTTTAAGTTTCCTGGAAAATATTTGGCAATATGTATTAAGAATGTTAAAAATGTTTATATCTGTGTATCTAGTTGTACCTCTTCTAGGAGTGTATCATGTGTAATTTATCAGATTCATATACTTGAATGTTCATCACAGTGCAATTTATGATACTAAAAAAATCAGAAAACAAGCTAGAAGATCCAATTTGGGGACTAGCTAACTATATTAGGATATGTCAGTATTTTGTAATGTTATACAATTATTTAAATGTTTTAGAAAAATATTTAATGTAGTGACAATCTACTATGTTAGGACATTAAGTGCAAAATCTGTATACAAAATACTATACACATTATGACTCCAATATCATGATTTATATATGTATGTGTATATAATGAATACAAAAAAAGTAAAAGAAAATGCACCCAAGGGTTGAAAATGGTAATTTTTGAGTGAAATATCTATACATGACTTATTTGTATGCTTGTCTATATCTTATAAATTTCCTACAGTGATCATGTATGTAATTAGAAAAATCTTATTATTGAAAATGTGTAAAATAATGTATTATTTTAGTGTTATAAGGAATGAGTTTTTTCTTTGTTACATAAAAAACTTTGGAAAATTCAAAATGAGGTATTTATTCCATGCTGTTCAGTGGAATGAAATGTATTCCTTATCATTTCAATGACAGGATGTAACATCCTATAACCAACAGTACTAATCCATCAGCTGTATCAAAATTTAAGTGGAAATATGTTTGTACTTATTCATAGTTGTCTTGTTTTAAAAATAAATCAGCATCTCTTTTAAGAAATGAAGATGAAATACATTACAATAAAATTATTTTATTTTAATGTAAATATAAGTTTACCAGATTTTAATAAAGTAACAATTTAGAGATATAGATGTACGTATACATATATAGGTAGAATATATCCTTTTTAAAGCAGTAAGGCATACTTTATGATATAATATTTTTACCAGAAGTAAAATGTATATAATTCTCAGATATGAAATGAAAGTAATGACTAGAAAGACACTATGACCTGGGACAAGAGTTAACATCTTTACAAGTAGTTTAACTTTTATAAGTGACTTTAGTAACATCATTATACAAATAAGCCATTTAGCTGGCATGTTTTGGCAGGGTGAATCAGTAAGACACTGGTTGAATTTCACAAGTTTCTAAAACTTTACAACCACTGCTTAGCAAGTCTTTGTAGTAAATGTGACGTGTGATAACAGGTACAAGTGAACCACAGTTGCTAATGGCTAAGCACAAAAACTTTACTGCCCTTTGGACACTGGGGAGAGCAAGTTTGAGCTCTGATCTCCTGCTGCTCTTCTAAAAGTTTAACATATTCTAAACACCGTTAAGTGGAAATAAAAACTAACAGAACCCTTTATGTAGAAATAAAAAATAACAGAACAAGAGCAGATTGGGGAGATGGCATTTCCACCAGTAAAATGTTTCCAAATCAATGCAGTTATCCAGTTTCTGACATTGGCCTTTGAGCAGCCATCATCTATCTTATGCAAAATGTGACAAACATGGCTTTGCTTCATTTTGTTGCAAAGGAAAATTTTTGTTCAGAGCTTTAGAAAAGTCAATTCAGTCCACGTAATTCACTTTCTTCTTAAGTTTCTGAAAAGTAGCTGATGCTTATTTGGTAGAGAAGTGCTGTAGAGGAATGCTTCTCTTGCTCCTTTTTCCACAAGATTACGTCACAGACAGGTTTCAAGTGTGTTACTCAACCTCAACACACAGGGCAGGCTTCTTGGTGGAGGAGTTTCCATTATCAGAGGGGCGGTAGGAAAGCATGCTCATTTTTGTGGATAGACTTGAGTGGGAGTTGGCCTTTGGGGGCATGTATTTCAGAAGCTGGAGAAAATATTTTTTAAATTTTTCCCCAAGAAAGCCATAGAAGAGAGGATTAAGGCAATTGTTAAAATAAGCTATGCAAATAGTGATGGGCATGGCGGTGTCGACAATATCTATGATTTTACAGTCATGTATGATGCCCAGATGAATCAGAACATCCAAGAAAGTGAATATTTGATGGGGAACCCACGAGAAGAAAAAGGAAAGCACAATTGCCATAATTATCTTGAAAATATCATCATTTCTTGGCTTGTTCTTCTGAATTTCATACGCCTTCTTTAGGGCTTTCCAAATAAGAGTATAACTTGTAAGAATGACCAGAAAAGGAAGCAAGAAACCCAGTATATTCTTGGTTAGGCCCAGCCCTACGGGGAGGGTTGAATTTTTGAATTCGTAATGGAAAGCACAAACTGTGATATTGGTGTTTTCAATGAAAAATGCATTTCGGTGGATTATAGTTGGCAAACTGGTCAAGGCAGCCAGCAGCCAAATAGTGATGCAGGTGACTTTGGCCACAAGCATTGTGCGCCGAAGGCGGGACTTCATTGGATGAACAATAGCCAGGTAGCGATCAATGCTTAGACATGTGAGTAGAAACACACTGGCATAAAGGTTGAAACTGATACTGGCTGAAGCGATCTTACATAGGTAATTGCCAAAGGGCCAACGGTATTCCATAGCAGTGTAGACGGCCCACAGTGGCAAAGTCAGTAAAAAGCATAAGTCAGCCAGTGCCAAATTCAAAAGAAAAACACTGGCCACAGTCTTCACTTTCATGTAAAAGTAAATGACAATCACCACCAAGCTGTTTCCAAATATTCCCACCACAAAGATGATGCTATATAAAGTAGGGATCATGACAAATATGTAATTGTGCCGTCCAGATTTGGGACAGTCATCTTGGATTCTTTTAATACCATCTTCAGTGGAAGAATTGAGGATCATTTTGACCTCCTGGGTTAATTAATCTCAGATACTAATGCCAAATGCTCCTGGAAAAAAATAAAAAGGGAAAGATAAAAATGGATTAACTTTCAGTTATAAATGAGTATTTTTAGTTATCAATCATAAGTACAGTAACTCAACTTTGGTTTTAGGAAAAAAACCTAAATCATATTTTCTTGACAAAAACTGAACTAATAAAGTCTAGATTGCACATTAAAGTTAATTTTGAGAGCATATTGCTTTTCAGGGAAGTGATAATATCCTCTAGACCAGTGGTTCTCAACCTGTTTCACAGGGGTCACCTAAGACCATCGGAAAACACATATATAATTACATATTGTTTTTGTGATTAATCACTATGCTTTAATTATGTTCAATTTGTAACAATGAAATTGGGGGTCACCACAACATGAGGAACTGTATTAAAAGGTCGCGGCATTAGGAAGGTTGAGAACCACTGCTCTAGACAAATAGAAGTAGGGTTCTATGTGAATAAAATGATCTAGATCCTTTGTGTGTGTGTTTTTTTTTTCTAGAAGTAAATCCTAGCTTTCAAATTGATTTAAAAACAATCTGAATCTCAGAAAACACTACTGAATTAAATTAGTCATTCAGAAAGACTTGAGTTTTTCTTGAGGTAAGCAAGGCCAATTAATTTGTCTTTAATCTCAGAAGTGTGACACATCTGTACTTATTTTTTAAACAATTTATTTCATCTCATAATTTTTTCTTAGGTATAAAAATGATCAGCATCCCCCCTTAAGTGGTCAGAAGAGCTGTCTCTAGGTTTATGAGGAATTGGTGATTGTGGAAATTGATGTAAGAGGGGAGAAGAGGGAGGGAATAGTATTCTTCCCATTATTTTTCAGGCCACTACAGGCAGTACCCACATTCTTTAACTTCCAACTCAGTCTTGCATAGGCTCTGAATCTCCTAACTTTTGTATCTGCCAGCCATTTATGGAATTAACTTTAAGATTAACCATCTGTATAACAAGGATGACAAATGACTAAATTAAATCAGGATTATCAACATGCCTTTTGTGGGGGCTTGAGATAGTAGCAGTTCTTTAGGATGCTGGGAGGAATCAGATGCTCAGAGAAGGACTCTATAAAGACTTCTGCAAATATTTGCTCCAATATTTTATCTAATCAACAATTAAGCTATCCATTCATGTGATTTAGAAAATCAACCTATTCAGACCTACATAAGAGTCTATCAGAAGACCCTTGGGAGAAAGGCTGATGATGCTGTGAGGGTAACATCACAGGAGGTGGCACAGGCATGCTCTGTGGAGAAGGTCAGCATTGGGCACAGGCAAGGTTGGCCAGGCAGAGCAGTGGTACTGGGTCAAGATCCTATTGCTACACCAGGAGCAGGTCCCTGGGTGAGCATGGCTACACATTTCTCTTATAGCAAAGTGTGCTGGGCAAGATGAGGGACAGGAATAAGACATTACTAGTCTGCCCAGGATAGCTCTGTGTGCCATCCAGGAGAGCTGAACACTAAGGCAGTATGTATCTGGGTGCAAAGTGTTGTTGTAGAAAAGATGAGTGAAGATTTTAAGAGATAACACTGGGATGAAAGGGGTTCTTAAGTGGCTACTCTGTCTCTCCCATAGAGGCAGTTATTTTCCCTATCCAAGTTTCTGGTTCCATAACCTTATTAACTTCTCCTTTTCACTTAGCCTTATGCAATCTAAATCCCCCTTTTCCCTTCTCATTCATAAGGGCTTTGCATTCACAAACAGGCAAATGGTCACCTCCACTGTGGAGCCTTCCTAACTTTTCTGGGCAATTGGCTGTTCCATTTTGAGTGGCTCTGGTATTTTGGATGCAGGTTTTGACACTCCATGATGATGGTCTGTTAATAATGTCTTCTCCACTGGTTTGTCAAGGGTAGGGCCTACCAGCCTAGGCCCTGGCACATTCCAGGAGGCATGTGCTAAATGTCTGATGAAGAAGAGGGTGAGTGCACAAATGAGTGAATGAATAGCATATAACCTAAAAGCTAATAGTATAGTGTACTGAGACTAATTTCTATGGGGTAATGAAATCAATTTACATTCTGCTTCCCAAAGAATCTCATAGAAAATATTCAACGACGACCTGGGCTTCACCTTGGATGAGAAACCTAAACCAAAACCAAACCCAAACCAAACCAAACCAAAGCACACACACAACAACAATAACAAAAAGCCCTTAGAACTTTTAGAAATCTATAGTTTACCAAACAAAAGATGAAAAGAAAGAATAATTTCAAAGAAACTAGGGCCAGGCTCTCAGGGAGGTAGGACCCATTTCCTCCTCACCCAGGAGGATTTCCTTATACTTTGCTGATTTTCAGTTCATTTTATTATAATTATTAAAATTATGCCAAATTAGAAATATAAATTCATTTTAGTAAACAAATATTCTCTATTAAAAATTAAATGCTACATTAAAGGTTCATGTGCTAGCAATCATTTATTCTTAATGTGGATTAATTTACTTATTTGCTTTCCTAACATCTAGTTGAGATTAGTTGGATTTTGCCTAGGAAAACATTGGAAATGTCAAGGTTAAAGAATCTCAAAGATTAAAAGAAGCTTGGGTGAACTCTACAACTGAAATCAGGGTAGGGGTAATTATTTGCTTCAGCTTGGGCACAAAAGATAGGAATAAATAAACTTGATGAATTAGGATCCCTTGGGTGCCCTGAGCTTGGGTGCTCTCCTCTTTCTTCTTTCCTCTCTTGGCCCTACTTTGAGGGCACACAACTCAGGCTGAGTTCATTAATTCTGTGACTAGAGTGAGTGGAATTTTATTGACTAGGCTGGAACTGTAACCATCCTATATAATAAAAGGCTAATATGCAAATCGACCAAACAATGAAACGACCAGTCGCTATGATGCACACTGACCACCAGAGGGCAGACACTCAATGCAGAAGCTGCTCCTTGGTGGTCAGTGTGCTCAGCCAGAAGCTGAGCTCATGGCTGGCGAGTACAGTGCTGGTGGTGGGAGCCTCTCCTGCCTCTGTGGCAGCGCTAAGGATGTCCAACTGACAGCTTAGGTCCGCTCCCTGTGGGCTCCCGGACTGGGAGAGGGCACAGGCCAGGCTGAGGTACCTCCCTCCTCCAAGTGCACGGATTTTGTGCACCAGGCCTCTAGTCACTTATAAAAGAATTTCCCTGGGAAAAAGTTTGTGTTTGAGAGGAATAATTTATAAACATAGCTTTGGACCCCAGTCTGAGGTCAGCTTCTCCTTCAGTTCCCATCAATCCAGATGGACTGATATTTAATATGTGAATGGCTGTTCTGAACAGCGAGGGGAGCATCCCTGGAGATTTTGGTGAGGATTTGTAATTTTAATGAGTTTTTACTTGAGAAACTCTGGACATAGCATTGAACATATTAATTAGAAGAGAAGTTTACATAAATGTTTATATAAGTAATGACCAGGCTTCCTACTTAGCAAGGGAACAAGTTGCCTTATACTTAGGGGTGGAGGAAAGAGGAGATGAATTTTGAGTGATGGAAACAGCAGAGGGAAATAGCAGGAAGAAAGGCAGAGAAGCAGAAAATGCAAATAGTGCTTTCAGTGGGCCGTTATTCATTCATCATCTTATATTCACTGAACACCTATTATGTGCTGGGTGAATAAAGTCACATTCTCCACCATTTGAGTCTAGCTGGATGCATAGGAGCCTTAAACACAGAATTATCCAATGTGTTGAATATTTAACCATATAAGAGGCTTATGGAATGTTCTGTATTTACTATTGACCCAACCTGGTGGTGGGGGGGGGGGGCAGGGGGGTGGTCAGGGATGCTTCCCACAGAAGATGGTACTTGGACTTCAGAGGATGTATGGCAAACAGAGTGGTTAGAACTTAAAGGCAACCAGCTGGCCAGCCAAGGTGGAGTAGAGAGTGTGCCATCATTTTAACTTTTCCCTTCTTACAAATGCCTGCAGCAGCATCTATGGGAAACAGCTCTTGCAATTTAAAGATATTGCACAATCCTCTGGGCAAGGGTTTGGGGTGTGATGTGCACTGGATGGGAAGGTGACATAGGCCCTACTCATCTAAGAAACAAGAAAAATCATTCTCTGGTCTGCACAGTTTTTTTGTTTGTTTTTGTGGTTGTTGCGGTGGTTGTATTTTTAGCATAATCATTTGTAGTGATTGCCCATTTATTTTTTTCTTCCTTCTTTTAACTTTTGGCCCCCTTCACCCATTTCTCCCACTGATTGGCTTCCCTAGCTGAGGGCTCTCAGGAAAGAGGCTAAAATGGAAGTCATGATTGGAAGCCATCTTAGGTTGATGCTAATGGTGGGGAAAAGTGGCTTCTTTTCTCTTTGAAGCTGAAAGGATGCTGTGTTGGTGATCTGATGGAGAGAGATGTGTTCTACTAGGAAACAAATTTGTGAGTCCTAGAAAACAGCTACATTTTGTTCATCCTGTTTCTTCTCCCAGTCTGGGATAGGCAGGTAGGGTACTGATAAAAACACAGGAGGGTCCACTTCTCCCTCTTTTGGGAGAAGCTTTTTACCCATTTTCTTTTGAAGGAAAGAAGATAGGATTTGGAGGCAAAGTACTTGTAATGGAATCTTCCTTTGTCACTTACAAATGTCACCCCATATCTCTGAACATGAGCCTCATTTTCCTCATCTATAAGAAATAGGAACAGTGATCCCAATGCACATGATGGTTGCAGGGATTAAATGAGGTAATGTGAAAGCACTGGGCATATCTTTTAAATAGTGTTTAATAAATGTGTTTTTTGGAATTGTTGCTGTTATTTTTTGAATGCAAGACAAATGCTGATTCAGCTATGGGTCAAGAAAGCATGAGCGATTTTTAAAAAGGGGGTTTGTTATTTATAAACTCTTTCTCTTGCCATTAAAAGGCTAAAAATACAAAGCTGTTGTTCTTTCAAAGTATGAGTAAAAAATAATCATAAGCAGCTGAATAAATTTGCAATGAGTCAGGTGGGAACTTTCAGTCTGCTGCAAACACAAGGTTGGCTCATCATGGCCACACCACCCACTGCTTGCTTTTGGA